CTGGAGGGCTTGACGTGGTGGGCTGGCTGGGTCTGGGTCTCACCCAATGAGGGTGGGGTCGGCCGGTTCTGGGTCTCCTGCATTTTCGAAGCGCGTGCAGGTGGTGGGCGGGGACTTGACTCTGGGTCCCGAGGCGTGCCTCAGACTTAGACAGGAGGCAGATTTTCACATGCATTTTACTAATTTTCTTTCATCTCTGACACTTTTATTATAGAGAAAGGGCAAATAGCAATATTAAAATATTTCCTCTAACTCCCTTTTTTTTTTGTTAAAATATATTTTATTGATTTTTTACAGAGAGGAAGGGAGAGAGATAGAGAGTTAGAAACATCAATGAGAGAGAAACATCGATCAGCTGCCTCCTGCACATCTTCCACTGGGGATGTGCCCGCAACCCAGGTACATGCCCTTGACCGGAATTGAACCTGGGACCTTTCAGTCCGCAGGCCGACGCTCTATCCACTGAGCCAAACCTGTTTCGGCGCCTCTAACTCCCTTTTAATGTGCACGCATTTCGTGCACCGGGCCACTAGTGTTGTGCTAAAAGTCAAAATTGAAGTAAGAGGTAGATTGTGTAACTTCTGTTTTTAAATGAGGTGTTTAATTATGGAAGGCATGGTTAATAATGTTAATAGTGTTTTAATGACTTTCATTTATTTTTTCAGCCAATAAGCAAGAAATCCTGTCGCCATAGCCAAAATCTAATATAATTCCTCCTGTTATACAAGAGTCACTCTGTTGCTGTATTAAAAATGTCAATGCACAACATGTATTAAAATTCACCTGTATTTGCTTGACATCTTTTGTTTTTAAATATATTTTTATTGATTTCAGAAAGGAAGGGAGAGGGGGAGAGACAGAAACATCAATGATGAGAGAGAATCATTGATTGGTTGCCTCCTGCAAGCCACCTACTGGGGATCCAGCCCACAACCCCAGCAAATGCCTGTTAGGTCTGGTCCAAGAATTGAATCGATACCCCCTCCCCTGGGAACTGACCTTCAGACCACTTCACAATGGACATTCCACTTGCTTAGACCACATCCCACTTGCTAAGACCATTATCGGCCCCCCTATCTCCCCCCCTCCCGCCCCCCTCCCCGACTTCCCAGAATCTGGACCTGCACAGAGAATTCTCTGCCCAGAAAAAGCCCACCAAAAGTCCTTTAAAAACCGCTGACTCCTGTCACTGGGGTGCTGGAGCCATCTGGGGCTCAGTCACCTGGTGTGTGGATGATGGAATAAATTCATAATCCCTCACCATTCTGGCCTCGTGCGTTCCTCCTTCGGCAACCCTAACAGTGCCCTGACCAGGAATCCAACCATGACCTCCTGGGCTACTTGACATCTTTAAAGATCTCTCTCCAAACTGCCTCAGTAATACCTCTCCCATCAAAGACTGGTGAGAATATGTGGAGTTTTCCTTCATGTGTGAGTAACACCTATTAAGAAGGATAGTAAATAAAAGCAAATCGTAATTTTTAAACCTTAAGAGAAACTATTGCAGTGTTGAAATGCGAGCTAGCACCTACATACACTGCAATAGTAATGGAACAGCAAACTCGAGAAAACAAAACCTCTCGTTAAAAATAAAAATATCATCATCTAAGTCACAGTGGCATTCACATATGTGCATGAATAGTCACCCTTTCTCTGCACTGTTCTAGCTCTCTGCTTTGCTCGCATGCGGGGCAAGGGTGACCTGTCCCTATAACTTGTGCGGTGAATGGATGCAGCCGCCAGTGCCACACCAGGGCAGCTTAGCCCAATGCCCACGAGGCTTTTCCCAGTGGCTTTGCATTCCTCAACTCCCCCCTTGACTGTGAAAGCTACATAACATGAAAGGAAACCCACTAAAGCTGGTTTCATGGATGTCTTGAGATTAATATCTTTTTCAGAGATCCCGCCCAGGAAACATCAAATCCTCTGCTTTCCAACCACGGCGGCCCTAGAGCAGCGATTTTCAGCTGCACCGTGCACGCTGGTGTGCCATACAGCACAGTATGTTAACGTCACCCATGCAATAGCTGGTGTGCCACCCAGCGCAGTAAATGTCACTCCATGCAAATAGCTGGTGTGCCACTCAGCACAGTATGTTATTGTCACTCATGCAATAGCTGGTGTGCCACTCAGCGCAGTATGTTAAACGTCACTCATGCAATAGCTGGGTGTGCCACTCAT